TCATCTGTGGAAAAGCTCTCTGATCTCAGTGCTGGAGTGAAAGAGAGCGGCACACAACAAGAAATATAAACTAAGAGACAGACAGACACCAAACAGATCCTCTGTGTTAAATAATTCAGCCTCTGTGTGTGTGTGTGTGTGTGTGTGTGTGTGTGTGTGTGTGTGACAGATGCTTGGTGGTGTAATGTTCAGGTGGCTCAGTTGGCTAGACGGAGTAGTTACTTAATTAAAGTGACTTATATGTAACGCACACTCAAACAGCTATTCATGGTGACACACTCGCCCCTGAGTCAGAGCTCACGTCTCATGCTGAACACGGCTGGCATTCTTCTGTAGTTGGAGAGGAAGAAGATAAACAAACCAATATGAAAACCGTCAAAAACAATAATAATGGCCGACAGGATGTTTTAGAGTTGAAGCTAATTAAATTTTCCACCCATCCACTCAAAACTAAAAAAGTCTGGGTCAGTGGGTCATTTAGGACAGATTATTATTCATATCAAAGTTTATGCCAGTCCGTTCAGATATTTTACTTGTACAAGCCTCTGGACAGTAAAAACATTTTGATCCCACATACTGATGCAGTGCAGTGATGAAGCAGTCAGCAGCGTTGCCTCACATTGAGAAAGGTCTGTCTTTAATCTGACATTTATTTGTTTGCAAAGACGTTGTTCTCTGGAGTAAGTCTGGAACAGTAAGTCATTTCATTTTCACCAAATTTAGATGCAAAGAGACATTTTTTCCTACAACTCAAAAGCTACTTTTTACCTTTAACATTATAGACAAATCTCAAAGAGATCTCATCAGATCTCTTTTCAACGAGTTTCTTTGTGGTTGGGCAAGTTTCACTCGTCATTTATTTATGTGCAAACTTTTAATCCGTTTTGGTTTGGCCGATTATGTCACAGCCGGGCGACAAAGGCTGTCCCAATTAGGAGGCTGCTCCAAATGTGGCCGACCCATTCTTCATTTCGCTGAATTTCAGGGGGGGTTGGGTGTATCGTCCGTGGCCCAACCTATCCCAGAATTCATAGCGTGGTCCAGCAAATTCGAGTTTCCAACAATGGCGGCAAATACATAGTTTTAATATTACTCTTATTACTATTTTCAATACTTTTTTATTTAAATCATTATTTATAATATTTTTATAATAATATAAAAATACTTTTAAAATGCAGCAATGGCGGAGGAGCACGACTAAAGAGTTTGAAATATTACTCTTTCTGGGTCACAAAATAAACTTTTAAGATATTTTCAAGAAAGTAGGTTTGTAAACTTCAAATATCTGCTGGATTTATCAAGACATCACATATTACATGTTACCCACCAGCTGGATAGCTGACTGGGTGGTCAAGGCTCACTCGAGCCGGCGAGAACACCGGACTCCCGGCACATTGTTTTCAGACCTGCGCAGTCCTTCGCTACTCAGGTTAAACATGATATATAAATCACTTAGATAACTTAAAAATGCTAGTTTGGCTTTTTTCAGTGTTTCATTTGTTCCTGAGTAAATCGGTTTGGCTGAGATTAAAGTTATAGTTTTCACACATCTGAATAAACGTCAAACAGAAAACTGATTAAACAGAAGTGTGAGATGGTCGAGAATTTACTCCAGTGTCCTGATATACTTTAGTGAGCAAGGCGCAGACAGCTGAGTTTATTAAACTCCACCGAGACAGCTGCAAATCTCAAGGCTAGACCGTCCAATTTCACAGCCTCACACTTCCAGCCTTCTCGGTCTTCGAAGGACAAGCCCCACATAGACGCCGAAGGCTGGGTCCTCCGAAGGATGCGGCCCCTGAATTGGGACACAGCCAAGGCTAGACACACAGACATGGAGTATGACTGGTTAGGGGAACAGACGGAACAAACACGGAAACAAGAGTAACTAAACATGAAACACAGGAGGCACAGAAACTAAGAGACTAGAAATTCTAAATAATAATGAAAGCAAAGACTATTAATAATTCAAAAACACTGGGTCACCGACTCAGGACCGTGACAGCATCTGAAATGACCAAATTCTACCCTCCTCTCAAATTTAAGCTGAAAGTGAAAGGCCATTATTTTACTTATGTGATGCATCCTGTGGTGACTACAGCGTATTTATGACAGTAGGAGCCTGCAGTGGGCTTATCTAGGCAGAAATCCAACACCATAGGACACACCTGAGGAGGAAGTGACACCTGGTTGCCATGGGCAGCAGGGGATGGGTTAACAAAATGTGATGTAGAGAGTCTGGGAGAGAGCGAGAGAGCAGGAGGATTGTTGGTCCCAAAATGTTACAGTGGAAACTTACTGCACATTTTCAAATTGATTTCTTTATTGAAGTTTTTACATCCAGCAAGGTCAGAAAACAGGACCCTGGTCTGGGCAGAGCTGTTTGACTGTAAGAGGACTGATACTCGACCTGTTTTTCTTGGAATTATTTTTCAAACAGAGGTGATGTGTGCCTGTGATCTGGGAGGGATTTCGTTCGTTAAACATTGAAGATTTTGGAGAATTTTGCAAGAAACTAAAATTCAATGAACATCTGAACAGTTTCGAAACATTTCCTCTCATACGTGTGGGTATCGCCTCTAGACCGTTACCTCTGGATATAACTGTGAGCGTGCTTGTAAGTAAGTTTTCACTGTGCACGTGAAGATGTTCAAGCGTCGGGATTATGTGGAGCTTTATGAGAAGGATCAGGCCAAATGGGCGCTGATACGCAACGTCAACACTGTGATGAAACACAGCACTCTGCTGCCGGTATGCTGACACTGCTTGTGTCTTAAGTCTCATGAGTCACAATTACATGGCTTTTATCTGTAGCATTTGTGTTGCTCCCTGCTTTGTTATTTACGTGTGCCTTTTTTCTTATACATGAGAAGAATGTTGATGTAATACTGCAGAACTGTGTGTTAAAATAATTATGCATGGTTTTCTGTTCTGGGTCACTTTTGACTCATGGGTCATCTGAAGAGATCATGTGTGTTTACGTTTTTAACATGGCTGTTTATGTGTGTATACTTCTGTTACTCATGCTTCCCATTTTAGCTTCTCTTCATTCTCTCCCTGTTCAATCCAGAATTTAATTTAAAATCCCCTGCTCATGTACAAAGAGCTGAATTTTAAGCCCCCATCAATAGTATCTTAAAGACCTCATAGTGTTGTACACTGCTCAACACACTAAGGGAATAATTGTTAGTCAGAGTAAGCTTCAGTTAAACTTCGTGAGCATTGAGCTGGTCAGTTAAGGGGACTGTTAATGCTGAAAGACAACGATGACACACCCCCCAAAACAGGAACAACTTTACAAGTCCCCC